AGGGCTGTTGGCAGGAAAATAAAAGGTACTGCCGGGTGCTGCAGTGATAAGCGTATTGATTTCCATCGGCATAAATGCCTTTGTATGTTAACGCATTATATTTGGGGATGGCCGTGAAGGGTAGATGGAGAGAGCCGAAGGACACAGAAAGAAAGCAGTAAGTGGAATTAAACACACGTGGGATAAGAGGGGCTACAGAGAAAGCCAGGAAGCATCCTGACCCGCATCTCGCCGCCGACTCGGGGGGCGGGGAGGGGGGGGCGGTCTCTGAGGTGCCATTGATGTGGGTGAAGCCATGGCGGTTCCCCAGCGCGCAAAGCCCCGCACATGCGGTGTGGCCGCCGGGAGTGCAGCTCGGTGCTCTGCGCCATCCTCTGCGCTGACACGAACTCAGCCGCAGGTGTGTGCCACACAGCTCCTCAGCCTGCATTGCCAGGTCATACAGGGCGTGAAGAAATGCTACGGGAAATAAGGTTATTACTGCACCTGCAGTATTAGAACCCCGGCCCAAGAAATGAATATTTTAGTACATCTCGCCGCAGGACTAAGGCTGGTTAGGCAAAGGTGCGCAGGTCCTTTCCAGGTGGCGATGAGTCTTGGTGAGAGTTAGAAGCCAGCACAGTCCACTGACCTTGTTTCCACAGGCATCTCGCTGAGAAGCAAGTCTCCCTGGACGTGGGGAAGAAAAAATAAATGAAAAGGGAGAGGGGTAAGGAGAGTAGAGGAAAAGGAGAAGAAATACTAATTAGAGGGCGGCATTGGTAAACCGTGTCCTGATGTTTTACTTACACTTTAATACCTTTATGTGGGGAAAACGTGATTTATAAACTCACGTAAGTCTCTCATGTAGCATTGACTTCAAAATCGTTGGAGCACCTTGCAAAGGGAAGGGGTATGTGGCTTGTTTGTGGGGCCGGGGTTGAGAAGAAATGAGCCTGGCCAGTGTGGTTCAGTGGTTGAGCGTTGACCTATGAACCAGGAGGTCACAGTTCGATTCCTGGTCAGGGCACATGCGTGGGTTGCAGGCTCGATCCCCAGTAGAGAGTGTGCAGGAGGCAGCTGATCAGTGATTCCCTCTCATCATCGATGTTTCTATCTGTCTCTCCCTCTCATTTCCTCTCTCTGAAATCAATAAAAACATTTTAAAAAGAAGAAATGAAAAGGAAGGCTTAAAGGTCTTTTTTCTCTATATCTAGACTGAAAAGTCAAAACGGATACATTTACACATCAAAGAGACTCTCAAATACATCCTGTCAAAGTAGTTTATAAAGAAAAAGAATGGCAGGTGAATAAGTCGGACATGATCCGATTGGCTCGCCGAAGAGTAATACAGCCCCATCGGATAGCCCTGAGAGGACCCCCTTATGGTCTCAACACACATCGCTGATACTTGGTTGGTTTTAGAAACTGCTTTGTGTTCCCTTAATTATCTTCCCTGATAAATTATGTCTGGAAGTCCAAAGTAGGTCACCAGGAACTCTTGGCGCTGGGAACTACCTAAGAAGTCCTAGTAATTAGCCTGGAACTTTCCGTCGGTCGGTCCCGTCCATCAGAAGTAGTTCAGCGCCCAAGGGTTGATTCTTGATTTAATAAAAGATTAAAGTCGGTAGCTGGGTTTGATCCGAGGGACGGCTAGGCATGAAGTTGCCTGCGTGCCTACCGGGTCCAGGGAGGGGCCCAGGTGTAGGTGCAGAGGCGGCCGGGGACGCGTGGCCTAAAGGGACGGCTTGATGATGCTGTGTGTGCTTCTCGCGTGCGCTGTGGAGTCTTGCTTCCATTTAACGCCGCTCTCGTGTTCTCGAATGCACTCAGGCTCCATTAGCAAAGTCATATCTGCTTAATGGCTATTAATTCCTCAAGCAGCCATTTATTTTCTCTTCGAAACATCAGCGATGTTTTCCCGTTTTCGTGCATCATATCCTAGCTGGGCCGCGATGGTGAGAAAGAAGAAAACAAAGTCGTTGCAGTGAAACGGGCTCAGAGGAGAGAATGAATGGGCATCTATTTTCTTCTGTCTCACGGATGTCCCAGAACTGAAAGGGATGCGGGAGTTGGCGGTCCTTGCACGAGTGTCTCTCACAAAGACCATTTAGTCTGAAGCCTTTAACCTCGTGCGCCTTTGATCTGAGAAGGCTCCTTGTGGCTGGGCAGAGCGTGTGTGGCTGGCAGGCTGCCCGCCGTTAATGCAGGGGGCTGTGGAGGGTCAGGAGCATTAGAGCCG